TCATTGTTCTGGAAATAACAATAATAAACAATAATATCTATGACCAATTTAACCATATTAAGAAATGTGGTCGGTGATCCAGTATTGAGCATATGTGCAACTGTGTGAGTTCAGTATTCTAATTGCCCCCTTCAAGCAGCTAAGGTGCGTCTTACTAGCAGTCATGTGACCGAGATCACGTGATAACACCTTTAACTAACTTATTGCCCTGAGGATCAATTGGTACAATGTGTATTGAGGTAAATTGGTCGGGGTATGTTTTATTATATAATATCAGTATTTACACTGAAACATTCAATAGCTTTCCTTAGCTGTTGGAACAGTGAAAGACCAAAATATTAGATGTTAACCCTGAGCAAATTGTAGCTTGTAGTTGTACATTTAATATAATCAATAATACTACATACTACCTTGTCGGACTTTATTTAAACGGACTTTAGTTCATAGTTGGATGCTAGAAGCCCAAGTTTACAATTTACCGCAGAAATTTATCTCGTACCGTTTTAAAACCAGATCTCGGAGAAAGGTTCACCTTAGAGTATTTTAAACCTAATTCTCGGGCAGACGTTTTACAATCTCCGAACAGTGTGACTATATTAGGTACAATCTCCGTACAGTTTGACTATATTGTGTACAATATCCGAACAGTGTTCTGTGCAGCGTACCGTGTTATTGTAGAGTATTCTGTGCAGTGTACCGTGTTACTATAGAGTATTCTGTGCAGTGTACCGTGTTACTATAGACTATAGAGTATTCTGTGCAGTGTACCGTGTTACTATAGAGTATTCTGTGCAGTGTACCGTGTTACTGTAGAGTATTCTGTGCAGTGTACCGTGTTACTATAGAGTATTCTGTGCAGTGTACCGTGTTATCATAGAGTATTCTGTGCAGTGTACCGTGTTACTATAGAGTATTCTGTGCAGTGTACCGTGTTATTGTAGAGTATTCTGTGCAGTGTACCGTGTTACTATAGAGTATTCTGTGCAGTGTACCGTGTTATCATAGAATATTCTGTGCAGTGTACCGTGTTACTATAGAGTATTCTGTGCAGTGTACCGTGTTACTATAGAGTATTCTGTGCAGTGTACCGTGTTACTATAGAGTATTCTGTGCAGTGTACCGTGTTACTATAGAGTATTCTGTGCAGTGTACCGTGTTATTGTAGAATATTCTGTGCAGTGTACCGTGTTACTATACAATATTCTGTGCAGTGTATCGTGTTACTATAGAGTATTCTGTGCAGTGTACCGTGTTACTGTAGAGTATTCTGTGCAGTGTACCGTGTTACAATAGAGTATTCTGTGCAGTGTACCGTGTTACTATAGAATATTCTGTGCAATGTACCGTGTTACTATAGAGTATTCTGTGCAGTGTACCGTGTTACTATAGAGTATTCTGTGCAGTGTACCGTGTTACTGTAGAGTATTCTGTGCAGTGTACCGTGTTTCTATAGAGTATTCTGTGCAATGTACCGTGTTACTGTAGAGTATTCTGTGCAGTGTACCGTCATACCGTGTTACTATAGAGTATTCTGTGCAGTGTACCGTGTTACAATAGAGTATTCTGTGCAGTGTACCGTGTTACTATAGAGTATTCTGTGCAATGTACCGTGTTACTATAGAGTATTTTGTGCAGTGTACCGTGTTACTATAGAGTATTCTGTGCAATGTACCGTGTTACTATAGAGTATTCTGTGCAATGTACCGTGTTACTATAGAGTATTCTGTGCAGTGTACCGTGTTACTATAGAGTATTCTGTGCAGTGTACCGTGTTACTATAGAGTATTCTGTGCAGTGTACCGTGTTACTATAGAGTATTCTGTGCAATGTACCGTGTTACTATAGAGTATTTTGTGCAGTGTACCGTGTTACTATAGAGTATTCTGTGCAATGTACCGTGTTACTATAGAGTATTCTGTGCAATGTACCGTGTTACTATAGAGTATTCTGTGCAGTGTACCGTGTTACTATAGAGTATTCTGTGCAGTGTACCGTGTTACTATAGAGTATTCTGTGCAATGTACCGTGTTACTATAGAGTATTCTGTGCAGTGTACCGTGTTACTATAGAGTATTCTGTGCAGTGTACCGTGTTACTATAGAGTATTCTGTGCAGTGTACCGTGTTACTATAGAGTATTCTGTGCAGTGTACCGTGTTACTATAGAGTATTCTGTGCAGTGTACCGTGTTACTATAGAGTATTCTGTGCAGTGTACCGTGTTACTATAGAGTATTCTGTGCAGTGTACCGTGTTACTATAGAGTATTCTGTGCAGTGTACCGTGTTACTTTAGAGTATTCTGTGCAGTGTACCGTGTTACTATAGAGTATTCTGTGCAATGTACCGTGTTACTATAGAGTATTCTGTGCAGTGTACCGTGTTACTATAGAGTATTCTGTGCAGTGTACCGTGTTACTATAGAGTATTCTGTGCAGTGTACCGTGTTTCTATAGAGTATTCTGTGCAGTGTACCGTGTTACTATAGAGTATTCTGTGCAGTGTACCGTGTTACTATAGAGTATTCTGTGCAGTGTACCGTGTTACTATAGAGTATTCTGTGCAGTGTACCGTGTTACTATAGAGTATTCTGTGCAGTGTACCGTGTTACTATAGAGTATTCTGTGCAGTGTACCGTGTTTCTATAGAGTATTCTGTGCAGTGTACCGTGTTACTATAGAGTATTCTGTGCAGTGTACCGTGTTACTATAGAGTATTCTGTGCAGTGTACCGTGTTACTATAGAGTATTCTGTGCAGTGTACCGTGTTACTATAGAGTATTCTGTGCAGTGTACCGTGTTACTATAGAGTATTCTGTGCAGTGTACCGTGTTACTATAGAGTATTCTGGGCAATGTACCGTGTTACTGTAGAGTATTCTGTGCAGTGTACCGTGTTACTATAGAGTATTCTGTGCAGTGTACCGTGTTACTATAGAGTATTCTGTGCAGTGTACCGTGTTTCTATAGAGTATTCTGTGCAGTGTACCGTGTTACTATAGAGTATTCTGTGCAGTGTACCGTGTTACTATAGAGTATTCTGTGCAGTGTACCGTGTTACTATAGAGTATTCTGTGCAGTGTACCGTGTTACTATAGAGTATTCTGTGCAGTGTACCGTGTTACTGTAGAGTATTCTGTGCAGTGTACCGTGTTACTATAGAGTATTCTGTGCAGTGTACCGTGTTACTATAGAGTATTCTGTGCAGTGTACCGTGTTACTATAGAGTATTCTGTGCAGTGTACCGTGTTACTATAGAGTATTCTGTGCAATGTACCGTGTTACTGTAGAGTATTCTGTGCAGTGTACCGTGTTACTATAGAATATTCTGTGCAGTGTACCGTGTTACTATAGAGTATTCTGTGCAATGTACCGTGTTACTATAGAGTATTCTGTGCAGTGTACCGTGTTACTATAGAGTATTCTGTGCAGTGTACCGTGTTACTATAGAGTATTCTGTGCAGTGTACCGTGTTACAATAGAGTATTCTGTGCAGTGTACCGTGTTTCTATAGAGTATTCTGTGCAGTGTACCGTGCTACTATAGAGTATTCTGTGCAGTGTACCGTGTTACTATAGAGTATTCTGTGCAGTGTACCGTGTTACTATAGAGTATTCTGTGCAGTGTAAACTGTAAACTTGGGCTTATAGCATCCAACTATGAACTAAAGTCCGTTTAAATAAAGTCCGACAAGGTAGTATGTAGTATTATTGATTATATTAAATGTACAACTACAAGCTACAATTTGCTCAGGGTTAACATCTAATATTTTGGTCTTTCACTGTTCCAACAGCTAAGGAAAGCTATTGAATGTTTCAGTGTAAATTATTAAATCAAAGTTCTAAACAAGGGATAGTTTTAAAAAACAACGCCCAAGTCTAATCTTTCCCTAAAACAAAAACTAAAAATTAAAAACTTCATTGCAAATTCCGCCAATATCTCTTGTCATAACTCAAATTACGGAGATAATGCAGGTCAAAGATATTATTTAAATAAAGATTTCTTTTACACAAATCATGCACAATCAGCGAGAATAGATTGCTTTGGGGTCTTCCTCTTCTCCCTGGTAAGTCCAGTGTATTGATGGCAAAAATGAGGGAAGAAAACGCTGGTCCGTCAATAGGACCCCGCAAAACATGTCCTAACATTCTCCACCGACTACGGGCCACTTTTTCTGACAATGGTTCAGCATTGCAGCGTTTATACAAGTTTTTGTTGGAGATGACTCCTGGGTACTTTATATTCAAAATAGTGCGAAGATGTCTGCGGTGAACAACATCTAGTTTTTCAAGGATTATTTTGGGGACGGCCCAACAGGATGAGTTGTACATAAGAACCGATACGACTAAAGCATTATACAGTATTAGACGTTTGTTTAGGGGCAGTTTATCACTCCAGGCCTTCTTGTAATTGTTAAAGGCAGCATATCCCAGGTTTATGCGACGCTGAATATCAGCTTTGCTACACAAGACGGACCCTAGAGTGATACTTTTCCTCCATGCTTCATTCAGTGTAAATACTGATATTATATAATAAAACATACCCCGACCAATTTACCTCAATACACATTGTACCAATTGATCCTCAGGGCAATAAGTTAGTTAAAGGTGTTATCACGTGATCTCGGTCACATGACTGCTAGTAAGACGCACCTTAGCTGCTTGAAGGGGGCAATTAGAATACTGAACTCACACAGTTGCACATATGCTCAATACTGGATCACCGACCACATTTCTTAATATGGTTAAATTGGTCATAGATATTATTGTTTATTATTGTTATTTCCAGAACAATGACAGGTCCATTTTCGATAAAACTTTCGCCATCTGAACTGTCATAATGTAAGTTTTACAACGGTAACAATTCCATAAATACGATTAAAAAACCATCCACCCTATTGAAAGGTATAAGATGTGAAAACCAGAACAACAATAAAATTAAAAAATTGTAAGTTTTTTGGGTAACATTTAATAGAAAATTTACAAAACAAGTATCGTTCAATTACCTTCACAATCTGACTCATCTGAGCCATCATCACACTGAACTTCTCCGTCACAAACAAAAGAATTTTCCAAACATCTTTTACGATCAGCGCATGTGAACTGTTCTTCCCGACAAGAGATATCTGTTGGGTCTTAAGAGAAGTTTATCATTATTGAATTATGGATCATCACAGAATTATAAAGTTATAATACACTTTTGTGGATATTTTATACAACCCGGATTGCTTGGTGGAGAAATATATAACAATACATATATACACTTAAATTCATTATGAAGAATTTTGTATTGGTCAGATAGTGGACAACCCTATCAGTCGGTGTCTCGGCCATATTTAATTATGAGAAGTTCAAATTGAAAAAATTGGATCGTTCACTATATTGTCAGTCCTGGGAGACTTCAAATTTTGTGTAGCTAAGTAAGTGTGCTGACATCAACTGTATAAGAATAATATATAATACTGCATTATCGGAACTTTATTTTATTGGACATTGAAAAGCATAAAATTTATCAACCAGAGCAACCACAACAACCACAACAATTAAATTAAAATATCTTAAGTTTTATAGAGGCAAATTTAGTATAAAATTCAAAAAACAGGTATAAATCAATTACCTTCACAATCTGATTCATCTGAGCCATCATCACACTGAACTTCTCCGTCACAAACAAAAGAATTCTCCAAACATCTTTTACGATCAGCGCATGTGAACTGTTCTTCCCGACAAGAGATATCTGTTGGGTCTTAAGAGAAGTTTATCATTATTGAATTATGGATCATTACAGAATTATAATAAACTTTTGTGGATATTTTATACAACCCGGATTGCTTGGTGGAGAAATATATAACAATACATATATACACTTAAATTCATTATGAAGAATTTTGTATTGGTCAGATAGTGGACAACCCTTCCAGTCGGTGTATCAGCCATATTTAATCGTGAGATGTGAAACAATTGGATCGTTCAGTATATTGTCAGTCCTGGGAGACTTCAAATTTTGTGTAGCTTAGTAAGTGTGCTGACATCAACTGTATAAGAATAAAATATAATAATGCATTATCGGAACTTTATTTTAGTGGTCATTGGAAAGCATAAAATTTATCAACAAGATTAACCACAACAATTGAATTAAAAAATCTTAAGTATTATAGAGTCAAATTTAATACAAAATTTAAAAAACTGGTATGATTCAATTACCTTCACAATCTGATTCATCTGAGCCATCATCACACTGAACTTCTCCGTCACAAACAAATGAATTCTCCAAACATCTTTTACGATCAGCGCATGTGAACTGTTCTTCCCGACAAGAGATATCTGTTGGGTCTTAAGAGAAGTTTATCATTATTGAATTATGGATCATTACAGAATTATAATACACTTTTGTGGATATTTTATACAACCCGGATTGCTTGGTGGAGACATATATAACAATACATATATACACTTAAATTCATTATGAAGAATTTTGTATTGGTCAGATAGTGGACAACCCTTCCAGTCGGTGTATCGGCCATATTTAATTATGAGAAGTTCAAGGTGAAACAATTGGATTGTTCACTATATTTTCAGTCCTGGGAGACTTCAAATTCAGTGTAGCTAAGTAAGCTTGTGCTCATATCAACTGTATAAGAATAAAATATAATAATGCATTATCGGAACTTTATTTTAGTGGTCATTGGAAAGCATAAAATTTATCAACCAGAGCAACCACAACAACCACAACAATTAAATTAAAAAATTTAAGTTTTATAGAGGCAAATTTAGTATAAAATTCAAAAAACAGGTATAAATCAATTACCTTCACAATCTGATTCGTCTGAGCCATCATCACACTGAACTTCTCCGTCACAAACAAAAGAATTCTCCAAACATCTTTTACGATCAGCGCATGTGAACTGTTCTTCCCGACAAGAGATATCTGTTGGGTCTTAAGAGAAGTTTATCATTATTGAATTATGGATCATCACAGAATTATAAAGTTATAATAAACTTTTGTGGACATTTTATACAACCCGGATTGCTTGGTGGAGAAATATATAAAGATATAACAATACATATATACACTTAAATTCACTATGAAGAATTTTGTATTGGTCAGATAGTGGACAACCCTTTAATAGTCGGTGTGTCGGCCATATTTAATCGTGAGAAGTTCAAGGTGAAACAATTGGATCGTTCAGTATATTGTCAGTCCTGGGAGACTTCAAATTTTGTGTAGCTAAGTAAGTGTGCTGACATCAACTGTATAAGAATAATATATAATACTGCATTATCGGAACTTTATTTTAGTGGACATTGAAAAGCATAAAATTTATCAACCAGAGCAACCACAACAACCACAACAATTAAATTAAAAAATTTAAGTTTTATAGAGGCAAATTTAGTATAAAATTCAAAAAACAGGTATAAATCAATTACCTTCACAATCTGATTCATCTGAGCCATCATCACACTGAACTTCTCCGTCACAAACAAAAGAATTTTCCAAACATCTCTTACGATCAGCGCATGTGAACTGTTCTTCCCGACAAGAGATATCTGTTGGGTCTTAAGAGAAGTTTATCATTATTGAATTATGGATCATCACAGAATTATAAAGTTATAATAAACTTTTGTGGACATTTTATACAACCCGGATTGCTTGGTGGAGAAATATATAAAGATATAACAATACATATATACACTTAAATTCACTATGAAGAATTTTGTATTGGTCAGATAGTGGACAACCCTTTAATAGTCGGTGTGTCGGCCATATTTAATCGTGAGAAGTTCAAGGTGAAACAATTGGATCGTTCAGTATATTGTCAGTCCTGGGAGACTTCAAATTTTGTGTAGCTAAGTAAGTGTGCTGACATCAACTGTATAAGAATAATATATAATACTGCATTATCGGAACTTTATTTTAGTGGACATTGAAAAGCATAAAATTTATCAACCAGAGCAACCACAACAACCACAACAATTAAATTAAAAAATTTAAGTTTTATAGAGGCAAATTTAGTATAAAATTCAAAAAACAGGTATAAATCAATTACCTTCACAATCTGATTCGTCTGAGCCATCATCACACTGAACTTCTCCGTCACAAACAAAAGAATTCTCCAAACATCTTTTACGATCAGCGCATGTGAACTGTTCTTCCCGACAAGAGATATCTGTTGGGTCTTAAGAGAAGTTTATCATTATTGAATTATGGATCATCACAGAATTATAAAGTTATAATAAACTTTTGTGGACATTTTATACAACCCGGATTGCTTGGTGGAGAAATATATAAAGATATAACAATACATATATACACTTAAATTCACTATGAAGAATTTTGTATTGGTCAGATAGTGGACAACCCTTTAATAGTCGGTGTGTCGGCCATATTTAATCGTGAGAAGTTCAAGGTGAAACAATTGGATCGTTCAGTATATTGTCAGTCCTGGGAGACTTCAAATTTTGTGTAGCTAAGTAAGTGTGCTGACATCAACTGTATAAGAATAATATATAATACTGCATTATCGGAACTTTATTTTAGTGGACATTGAAAAGCATAAAATTTATCAACCAGAGCAACCACAACAACCACAACAATTAAATTAAAAAATCTTGAGTTTTATAGAGTCATATTGAATACAAAATTAAAAAACAGGTATGATTCAATTACCTTCACAATCTGATTCATCTGAGCCATCATCACACTGAACTTCTCCGTCACAAACAAAAGAATTCTCCAAACATCTTTTACGATCAGTGCATGTGAACTGTTCTTCCCGACAAGAGATATCTGTTGGGTCTTAAAAGAAGTTTATCATTATTGAATTATGGATCATTACAGAATTATAATAAACTTTTTTGTGGATATTTTATACAACCCGGATTGCTTGGTGGAGAAATATATACAATACTACCACAAAAATTTTTTTATGGAAAACCCCCGATCTGCGGTAGATCGGCAAGCTAAGCAACCACTTGGGCCTCCGCCGAGCTGCAAAGGATTGACATCGTGAATCAACCAGCCGTACATTCGATCAATTCCACCAAATATCCATTTATGGATTAAGAACATAAATCTAAAAACTTGGGTCCCCAGTAAGCTTACCTGTCTCAATAAAATTGACCTCCAGATCAATAAAATTAGAAGTGCTGGGGAGAGCTACATATAGTCCACTACTAATCAATATTACCCCCTTACAGGGATCGGACCCCAGGCTATAATGTTCATAACTAAAAATTCATGTTCGGGCGGAATGACAGCTGAGCGCCGCCCATAACAAATAACAGGTAACCTACGTATTTGAATATCGAGTCTTCACTGTCAAATGTTGTTTTGTAATTATACAAACAAACACTAGAACGGCAACATGTAAAAAAAAAGTCGGAATAACTTCGGACTAACTGGAAAATTGACAATATTCCAACATTTTTTGTTGTTTCTTGTTCAAATTAAATAAAAATCATTGTACAATTTTATTTTATGAAAATATTCAATTTATCACTTCCAAAATTACGGGTCCCATAAAACCAAACTGTTATTACAAAATCTCCTTTATCCTTTGAAATAGTACTGAATATTTTAACTACAATAACAAGTTTAGTGCATGACTGGATGCACTACTGGTGTAGTAAACCAAATTTTTTTTACTGTACTGGGCCGCGCATCAATAATGATTTCTCGCCACCACAAGAATGCTTCAGTAGATCGGCAAGAAGCACCACTGGGCCTTGCGAGCTGCGAAGGATTAGACATCGTATCATAATACAAAAACGAAATGAAAATAAAAAACGTTTATCATAGTCCTCGCAATATGGAATAAAATCATTTGATCCCTTGGCCAGGACCAATCTGCACAGGAAACACAATAAAGCGGATCTCATCAAAATATCGGGCAAAAGAGGCAAACAGTCTTGCTAATTGTAGCACGTGGTGACCCCCACTGTCGCTCCACTTAGTAACCCTGTAAGTTTCGACGATACAGGGGACAGAGATCTCTTCCAAAATAAACTTCTTTGTTTTATTTTATACATTTACTCTTATCTAAAATTTATCTATACTTTTGAAGTGTAGTCAATTGTTTATATCTTTATGATTGTGATACCAATAAAAAATGACTATATTCGCACTCCTACCTGTCCAACCAACTTCATTCTCCAGGAAGACCTACACCCAGGATTGAAGCCCTCGGACGTAGCAGCTGGTGGACAGTATGCACCATTCGAAAGAACATTCTTTGACATCAGGGTCCACCCAATCCTAAAATGTTGCGACGCCAATACATTTAAGCCACTAGATAAACTACAGGCGCATGAAGAAAGAGAAGAAAGATCTATATGAGTCAGAGAGTACTTCATCAAGAAAGGGTCCTTTGTCCCCACAAGTCTTTACACACCGGAGGTATTGGCCCACTCTGCACTGTGTTTGTAGATCGTATTTCTGAAAGGATAGCTCACGGGTCCCGTATTGCCTGATTAAGTACAGAAAAGCCAGCGGATGGCTAGCGGGCGCCGAACGGAGTTGCACTAAAATGCAGACATTCCATACTAGCGAATGGCTAGCGGAGTATAGCGGACGCCGCGCTCAAAACAGCGGAGAATAGTACAGCTTCATTAACACACCCGCTAGTTTCCGCTAGCTATCCGATATTGCCGCTAGGGACCCGCTAGCTTTTCTTCAACTAAATCTGCAAAATCGGCTATATACGGACCTGAGCTGACGCAACAATAAAGAAGCTAAGAGCCAGGTCAAAAATCACATCAAACACCGGGAAAAAAATAATCAGGTTTGATCTGCTACAAGCACACTCATAGCACTCAGGGGAATCAGAGGGAAGACAAAAAGCCCCACCTGACTGGATGACGTATCCTTCAATCTCATTGCTCAGAAGACGAGCTTTTAGGTCTCTTAAGTTTGTTTAAGTAAATTTTTATAGATATTATGTAGCTATTGGTAAATGTTGTAAAAGTTTACGGACGAAATGATCCAGGGGGGAATCCCACCCACCGCCTCGGCGGTCGTTGATACACCCTTCACATGTAAGAGCCACTTTGGTCTACTTGCTGTGAGGTGGATCAGCTTACATGGGTTGGGGGTCCCCCCTTTTTTTTTTTTTTTTTCTATTCGAAAGTCGAATTTCTCAAATCGACTTTTTTAGTGTTTCTGCAGAGGGAGAATATCTATCAGAAGCTATTAATCCGATAGAAAAATAATGTTCCTAAGCAGAACTTATTGCTGGATCAAAGATCAGCGGGTGTGTGTAATGTAATTGCGCGAGCGATTTTGATCGCATGCCCTGAAAATCGAGTCTAGAAATCTATCATTCTCCTACATGTTTTAGAGCAATCATCCTGAAACATTCAGATATGTTCTAGGATCATTTAGAAAGATGAGCCGAGTAGAATTTGAGATTAGGGCCTTAAAAATTTTTTATCGATTTTGAACATCGTGGACTTCGGAAAATCATCAAAAGACAGGTCGCAAGATTTTCTAAATCGAATAAAAAATTTTTAAAGGCCTAGCTCAAAATTCCGGCCCAGCTCATCTCTTCTAATATCCCTAGAATCATATCATGAAGTTTCAGGGTGATTGCGCGAAAAATGTAGAAAGATATATTTTTAGACTCGATTTTCAAGGGCATGCTATCAAAATCGCTTTCGCAACACAATTTCACACACGCGCTGAAACTTTGACAGCCAATAATATCAGCTAGAAACGATATTTTTCACGGGATTAAAGCTATCTATAGATATTACTCCCCTCTAAAGAAACAACTAAAAGTCGAGTTTTGAGAAAATTTGTCATGAAGACCCTCCTGCCCCCTTAAACACCTCTTGTGTTAAAGAACCACTCTTGAATGTTGGATATTTTTCCAAAGTTTGATTTTAGGGAACTATCTCTAAAACCATCCGAAAACAATAGACCCAATCCCCAGCCCCAGAGAAAATTTCCTTTTTGAACCCTACCATAGTGACATTATTAAAAATGGACAAAAAGTGTTAAAATTTGTCCCGTTGATTCTCCAGCCGAATATCTTAACCTTGTCCTGGCCCTCATTATATTCTGATTAATTATAAAGATAGACACTTTCTTAGACAACTGAAGTAATACATCTGCTAGATCTCCTTCAAAATATTAATACTGCTTTTCACTATTTTATCTAAAACGCATTATTTTTCAGGATATGTTTATATATGTACATTTCATTGGAAAACGAATAAATCTAAACGACAAAGTAAGCGATAAAAACAAAACAAACGATCTAAACAAGATAATGGATGTCGGTTATACCTTGCGAGTCAAAGCCCAATGATATTCTTCTAGAACTTCCTGTCCCGCACAGGGTGGAGTGATTGCTACTCACTTAATTAGAATAGAAGAACAAAGGGACAAAAACCGACCACCGATTTGAAGGTGCCTGGTGCATGGCATCCCTTATTAAGCACCGTTTTAGAACCAAACAACGCCGGCTAAAATCAAGCAGTCACTGACTGGTCAGTTAGTCAGTAGGTGTCACTTCAAAAGTGGTTTTAAGCCAGCTAATTTGTGTGTCTGGGACGACAAAGCGCAAAATGAGTATGCTCGATCATAGTTCAAACTTATAGTTATAATCTGGGGACCGTTTTTAAGAGCAAGGGAGATCGCAATACTAAGCCGTGGAAATTATTAGGTACGAATGTTCAAAATAACAATATGGAAGACTGATAGTTGATATAATATAATGCGAAATGTTCGATATTTAATAAACAATTACTCAATATTTCCTAACATTCACAAACGAATTTGGACCACGAGGAATTTTCCAGGACGTTGTTAATCTCGGTAAGGTGTATACTGTATACCGTATTATTTACAATATTAGTCGCAAAATCATAAAGGTTTTATAAAATTGCACCGCGTGTCTCAACAACTAGCCGCTTTTCAACTTTATTTCTGCTGGAGAGGTTGTTGGAATTTGAAAATATCGGATGATTCAAGAAAATCAGGTCCAGAGATATAAGGATCTCGAACCTCAATTCATAAACAGTACTTTCAAACCCGTGATGTGCGCTTGAAACAAGTGTAAACTGGATATAATTCCATTAAATATAATAATATATAATAAGGTTTAGCTGAGTATCAAGAAAATTCTGTTCTTTATTCATTGATTCTTTAATTAGCTGAGGTATCAGATTTGATTTCAACCCAATAAAAGAGATTTTTATAGCTTTTAATAGAACATAAAATCTAGCAATGAGTCAGAGTGGAGCTTACAGTTACTACAGAAAAAGATCATCAAAGAAAAAATAAATGAAAGCGCATAAACAACACTATCGCTAAACGATTAAACTACTTAACGAACATTAATTGATTGTGTTTGCGTCTGTCGTGTAAATGTATTATGAAATGTATTTAACTATTTGTCTAGACAACTGCTAAGCGGAAAAGAATATAATTCATGAAAATGTGTTACATCTAAAGCTGCATCTATCAACTGTCGCATTTATTATACCCGTCATTATATATTACCTTATATACTTATAATATGGGTAATGTTTGTACTGAAGGATATTATATAGACGCGTTCCACAGAACAGTACGATACTAATAATAGTCCAAAAAATCAGGAAGAAATTTCATTAAAATCTAATTATATGCTTTCTGCTTACAGGCAAAAGCGTAACTGTAAATCGACAAGGTTATTAAATTTTATGAATAATACTAAATGAGGCTGCTATATAATAGACACCACGTGCGACCTAACACTAAATTTATTCGGAGGCTTATAGTTATGGCGAATAGGAAACTATGGGACAACGATTTAACACTTGGACACAGAAGCCAGCTTAAATCAGTCGAATCAAGCAAGTCATTGGTCACAGAACGTGGCTTGCGATAATAACTGAGGCACCAATAATAGGCAAAAGCAAACGCGACAATAAGAATTGGGGTTGGCACCAAAAGCAGGAACGACAAATTCCGATGTTTTGTCACTGTTCGGCAGTCCTATAACATACTTCGAAGCACTTTAAAGTTTAAATGTGCCACTCCAAAGTGCTATTCAAGCGCCAATTTCCTATTATTAGAAAGTGAACTCAGCTGAGCCTACTCAAGAAACATGACCTCAACAAAACACTGAAAATACGATAAAGTTACGTAATAAATCGCAGAAGTGCTAATAATAATTATATTTTGCGTTAGCACATTTGTTTTTAAAGATTGACAAAATCTCGGTGGGTCCGAAATTTGGAATTTAATCACTTGAGAGCTGAGAACGGATTAGTGTCAGAACGTTTTAAATTTTAAATAATGCGTGATTAAAAGGGGTTACAAAATTTTGATAGCGTATGTTTTGTCTTGAATATGGGTGCAGTACCCGTGAAACCGACAAAGAAGCAGTAAAAATTGGGTGGCACCCGTGAAATTGAACGCAGAATCACTAAAAATCCCGGGAACAATGGACTTGGTTCTCGGCTCCAGGTGACAATTCAGGATAAAAATAACATGAAATCGAGTAGCAATGAAATCAGTCACATACCAGAGGGTTAAAGTGAGGAATCTGTGAAAATGTGACAAGGCAGAGAGTTAATAAAGAGAGTGTATTTTAACAGACTATGAGCATTTTAACACACTTTTCTTCCATTCACCTAGCAGAATATCCCAGCACAATATCCCAGCGGATAATGTGAGACAAGGATCCAATGAATTTACAGACTACACAATACACAGAGTATAAAATACGAGTATAGCTTCTGTTATCGAATTACATGCGGCACGATGGGACCACGTTGAATAGAGCCGCGCTATTTTCTATCCCGTTTGGCGCAGCTAGTCGCGCTTGCGTCCGCGCGTTACGCGTACGTCATGTAAAATATTGAAATCACAAATGCGACCTTATTGTTGCGCGCGCGACCATGCGCTACCCATTTCCATGTTTTGAATTAAAAAATCGACGTACGACCACAGTATATAAATTTTAAAACAATTAATTATTTGGTAATTGATGCATCTAGAGTCATTTTATTATAGCTTGTATACATTTTTATTGTTATGCATAGATAGATAGCCTGATGAATCGAGCGCTAATTCTAATGCAGAAGAAATGACTACTTATGAGCAAACAAACCGCCTAGTTTGATGTTAACTTTCGTATTCTTTACTATTTAAGCAAATTGTATTGTTGGCTGATATTTTTCCAGCTTTAAATTTGATATCGTCCACAAGTTTCGGGAAATGATGTTTGTAGACTTGAGACTGTATGCTCACGACCTTTTGTAAATACATATATGAAGAATAGAACATCATATCACCTATTCTTTGATATAAAGTGAAAAAGATATTCAAATCATTGGTAACATATTGATTGTTGTAGATCACAGGTCTATGAATTCTCACATACCATCTCCATGACGAAGTACACAATTTTTCTTACTTGAGGCCGTACAGTGAGTTCTAATGGCTTGTCCCAAATGCATCAATGTGCTTGACTTCTATAACTTAACATTATGAGCCTTTAATCTTATGTCCCAACTCCCATCGTATAGATGATTGATATTTCTTACAAGCACACAAGCAGAATTTCTTCTATAGGCTTCTTTTGAAAATTTCTTTGTTGTCTTTTTAAACCAAGAATATATTGCTCTATGAGATAATGCCATTTTCGAAAGATTTGAAGATGAATGTTTATTAGTGGGCTACAAAATCCTGCCACTCATCATTGCCTATTGTAAAGTAAAATTATTTCTTGGAGCACTTAAATCAACCACTTGCCACAATACAAATTCTCGCATTCCAATAAATGTTATTATATGTTTATTGTTTCTTTTTACCCATATTTTGACCAATTGTAAAAATATATATGCTCAAATGGATATTCTTTTAATTAAGTACCGGGGAAAGAAGGTGGACACCAAACATGAGATCCATCTATCAGAAGTCTCCTACAATCTCATCCCTGCCCCTTAAATGGAGTCTAAATAATGGAGCAGATCATGCGTTTTGAAACTTTTATATATTAGATTGTTAAAGATTTAAAATATTGTGCTCTGCCAATTGCAACACTAAAAATTTGATTGTGCTCTGCCAATCGCATCACTTGATTTAATTGAATGTATATTAAATACATTTTGACACATTTTTCCTTTTATTTACTATCGAAACTTCTATTAGGGAAAACGAAATCTTTGACATACTTATTCTAATCAATTCAATTTAGGTGCCTACAGTTCAGATCATGTATGATGAATCTACTGTTTAGTGGTGACGACGCAGTCTTAACATTGGAGTGAGCCAATCTAATCCAAGCAAGTGAGGGAAATAATTTTATTTTAAACCTGGCGTGCACCAAGTTGGAAATGCAGTATCCAAGACAACCCACCATTATTAAAGGCTAGTTAGACATTTAAATTGAGTACACAACAGTTTGGTTAGGAATAAGGTTAAGGTTCCTAAAGTCATAATAACTATCTGTAACCCCTACCCTTGCATTATTTTAAATTTGTTTTACTAAAAAGTTTGTTTCACTATTTCTCACTCTTATCCTAAAAGTAGTTTATTATGATCATAGTTCTATAATACATGGGAAGTATCTGTGAAGCCCCACAACCAAGTCTACTCTTGGTTTTAGGGCTGCACAGATACTGCCCCACTCAATTCCCAATCCCAAACTGGACACCTTTTAGGTTATATAACTCAATGCACTCAATGATGGTAGCCATAAAGCACATCACTCCATTTGTATCCTTTAACACACTATGATTTATTAAAACATTGTTACAGGCATTATTACTCAAATTTCTATTAAAATGAAACTGTAACCTTGCAGTGCAGAGTATGAATCAACCCCGAAATGTTGCTATTTAACAATTAACATAGCAATTAGAAAGATTATTGTGTTTATCCTTAGAATTCTATTAGTTGTATAATGTAAAACCGGTATAGTGTTGGAATTGTTCTCTGAATTTTGTAAAATTGATCCAGAAGATCAGAAAGGGATGCACTTATGCATCAAAATGTTATGTATCCCAAATTTCTTGTTCCCAAGGTATTACATTTTTCACTCAGTGAGTGTTTCTGATTAAAGTATGAGTGTTGGGTGTTTGTCATGTAATGTAGGGCTGATCAGTGGTCAGTTATTTTGATTGATAATTAACTGGGACTGTTGAAAAGCACTGCGCTATTTCTATTCCGTTTGGCTCTGCTAGTTGCGCTTGACCACGCGCTACATGTATGTCATATCATTGATCATGTTTTTATTTGTTTAGATACAAGCTTGTCACGTTTGGCCATCATAATTAAAGTGAAGTAAATAATTCAGTATCTTAATTAGGTGGCTGCATTTTGTTTTGAGTTTAGTAGGTCCTAGTATTTATCCCTATGCAGTCACTCAGATAAGTTTTATACCAGGACACCTTAACAAAAACACATATTCTGCCCACAATAAGGGGCCATAATTGTTTCAATTATGCAAATGTATAGGATTATTATTATCATTACCTTGATGCAGTTATCTGTGCACATATGAATAGTCCAAATATACATTTTTTTAAAAATTGTGCATAAAAAGCGGCCACTTTGTTGATTTTATTTGGATTCGATCTAAGTACCACTGATCTGATATTATTTTCATTGTCGGGCTGAAATAAAACTTGTGAAAATTCCAAGAATGCACTGAGCACATTTATGCGCATTGCTAAGCATCTGGCTAATTTAATACTGCAACTGGCTAATGTATAATTGAGATAATTAACATGACCTTTATTCAGATGACGGTAAGATGATTTCGATGATGTCAAAACCGTTGGAGAGATGGATGCCTCATCTACCCCTGGTTGGCTCACAATACATATGATTATTCTGTTTGATATTTTTTCCTCCTCTTCAATCATTGTTGGTCTTCAGCTGTATGAGGTAATTTATTTCAAACAACTAAGCCTGATGCAAATGATGTTAAATATTATTAAGATCTGTCTTTCTTGTATGATCACATAATTCCGTGTTCTTGATGGAAGGCCACATGCACTGTTTTCAAACTTTAAAACAACGACCAAGCACTGTGTTGTTTTTGTTCTTATCATGATCAGTTTATAGTTATCTTCTGATCTATTTAATTTGAGGCAAGCCACGCTTATAATACTTATTGTATCTTTACTAATAAGCTTGATCATATTCTCAGTAAATGAAGGTTTTTAAATGAGCATGTGCTTCGTTACTTTTAGGATAAACTTACTTGTCGCTAGCTGCTGTAATGGCTACATTGTTATTTGTTGTGCTAATGATACCAAAATCGTAGAATAGAGAGAGAGACTGAGAGAGAGAGAGAGAGAGATTGTGCTGACTGAAATAGTGGTGACTGGAGAACTCAGAAATACAAATCTGTGCAACATCTTAAAATTCCTAGTTTGATAGCCCTTACAACTCCCTCTGACACACACCGTTTAGTAAGTACTGTAATACTATTTTAAATACGTCCTTAGATAAAGAAATATTGGTCATATTTTACCGGGGGAGGAGGGGGGACCCCGGGATCAGGTACTGAGTACTGTTAACTGTACGTGACGTTGGGGTGGTGTGTCATATATTCTTCCAAAACACAGTTAGTACTTTTGTACTAAGTGGTGGATCTGCTGCTCATTTCCCAGAAAAACAGTTTGTACTGTATGCTACTAAATAGTGAGTCTTAGGTCTAATTTGCCCAAAAACAGTTAGTAAATTAAGATATAATTTATTAAACAGAGTGCGATTGATCTTTTGTATAATTTTAAAAAGTGGCCTTTGGCTTTGTTGACTTTTCCGTTTGAGAAGGTGCAGTGTTTAATTTATTTTAAAATGTATTTCAACTACTGGTTCTTAAATGATGTGTGATATGTATAGTACACATTACATACATGCCATGTGTGTAATTGTAATCTGTAAACATGTGGGCGTGTGTTAGTGTATGTTTTTAATTAAGCATAGATATCTCAACTGTTAGTTTCATTGTTTACATTCAATATCGGATCCTTTTAAAACTAAAAAGTCATATTTAATGAGCTGTTTAAAGCAATTTCTGGGTGGGTATCTTATTTTATAAACCAAGACATAGTACAGTGATTTCTCAACAGTTAGTACCACAAAAGCCGGTAAAAGGGGGTGGGTGTCTTAATTATTATCCTAAAAACAGTTAATACATGATCCCTTACCCCCGGCCCCCCCCCCCCCCCCCCCCCCCCCCCCGATTTTACTGCTGCTAGGTAAAAATACTTTCATAGGTTCAATAGGTAGGTACTGCAATTGTATGGCATGAATATCTATAAAATTGTTTACACGTTTAGCGACAGTGAAAAGAAATCATAACAGCCACTTATTCTTGGAGATGGCAAAAAGATTAAATAAGCTAAAAGAAGCTTGTATTAATCCTCTGGATGTGGTATCTCCTCTATTTTAGAAGTCTTGGCCCATATTTCTCTGGTCTACTAGACGTGGAGCACAGGTGTAAGTCTACTTCAAATGTTTGTTGAGAGTGTCGGTTGAGTGTTAGCAAATAACTCTTTCCAACGTAGATTGATGGCCATTGCAGAAATATTCTCCTGTACCGTAGCGAGTAGATCATCTTTTGCTTTCTTGGACCAAGACTGAGTGCTGTGTTGTGAGTGTGAGTAGAAATGGTGACCTTTCCTCTTCGGGGGCGGGGGAGGAGTGGTAGTGAAATGTTGATGGGGGAGCGGGAGAAGTAGAGAGGGAGTTGTGGAGTATTTTGTGGAGCGGTTTGAGGAACAAACTAAATAACCTTCGAATAGATTTCGTAATTCCTGCTAGCATTGTACAAAATTTCAGGGATTAAATCCTGAAAAGTAGCGAATAGTATTGCCGATCAGGCCAGGACCATGTAAAAGTGTAACATTCCTTCTCCGAGAACAAATGTAAGTTGAAGCAAAATTACTATTGCCAATTATTTGCCAATGCTGATGAAAAAATGTTATTAAGATTTAGAAAGTTCTGAGATTATTATCTATCATACAATTTTGACACAACTCACGACTTGCTGAGGTTATGTTTCAAATTCGTTTCACATTATTAATCTTTGACAGGGAGTTAATTCTGCCACAAAAGAAAAGAATGAACTGATGAACTCGTTCACACTACCCCTCGCTCTTCAACTGTTGGAGAAAACTTCCTTCTATCGCTGCTCGCAACACAGCAGAACTTGGTTTAATTCTGTGCGCTAAAATTTTGCAAACGAGGCCTAAAATACTGTTATGTATAGGATAGACTGTTATGTAGGATAGACGGAATCGTTTCAGTAACTTTCTTGATCATCTTTAGAAACTCTTTCAACAACATTGATAAAGTCCAGTTTGCCTTCTGAAATTTCAGAATCTTGCTCTACTTTACGGAAGGCGCGAATGTAAAATCTATGAATTGTAAAAAAAGCAATAATTGTCAGTTAAGAGTTAAAATTTGAATATGCATGATATGGTCGGTCGAATATAATATAATGAATTGATCCAAAGCCAGCAGGCTTTTCGCACTGGCCAGTAATGCTTTTTGAAGGGAAACGCTACAATGCTCATCAACGAGCAAATCCTGGTTCGCGTAACCAATATCAAACGCATCATGGAATCCATTTTCTGAGATAGGATTCACATCACTCTTTTTACTGTTTGTTTAACATAATGATATTAAGTAGTGGTCGTTTTGAGTTATTTTCAGACTTTCAATACCGATGGGGTTTGAGAATAATTAGGTCTTGGGAACATAGTTCTAATCCGGAGTTATGGCAAATTACGTGTTAGTAATAATGTCAATGATTATATCGGTGTTCGTGTTTTAATCTAACTACTGACTTTATTTGTTTATTTCAATAAGGTATTGTATTTACCTTATATTTATAAATAATATAGATAGAGCAAAAGCATTCGATGTGGGTTCGAGTCCAGGCCAGGGGTTGAAATCTTCGATTCGATTCGAAGATTTCAACCCCTGGCCTGGACTCGAACCCACATCCGGTCTAACTTTTACTAGTATCTGTTCTTTGGAGTAGTCCTCTGCTCTCATGATCAAGCCATTGTGGTAACTGATCATTTTGATACTATGTGTTATTATATTGTGCTACAATGCACTAATCGATCAAATTAATAATAGTTTCAATTCTTATATTGGTAGAATTGGCGTTAAAAATTGCACGCGAATGTATTAAAATTACACAGAAACATCGTCTTTGATCATCTCTATCTCAAAACGATCACAAAGTAGCATCCTGAAAATTTGCACACATACAGTTGAGATGATGTCTAATATCTTCTAAGTTTTCTGGGAGCCTACTATGTAAGCTTCACTTGCAGTGGTCTGTCGAAAATTGGTTACTTTGCGCACATTTAATAGTCGACTTTATGAAAAAAGTTAACTAATCAAATTTATACTGGGATGCAGAACAAAGGATTCTCTTTAAAACTGAAACATGAACTAGTGATATGCTAAGTAAAGATAGGGCTGGTGGTCAATAGGAATCATGATGAAATATTTGCCTGGCAACACTCAGCGCGCGAAAAAATCTGTAGTGCAATGCGCTTCCAGTGGTCCCATCGTGTGCGGGTGATTTACCAAACTCGATCTTGCAGGCAATAATAATTTAATAAATTCCGGCCAAGAAATGAGAAACAGATAATTTAAAGCTCGATCAAAGCACCAAGACATCATAAGACCTGGCTCCAACGAGCATTGTACACATTACAGATGGTATGTTATATATACGATGCCACTACTGGGAAGGCGTCTGTAGTAGCCTGACAAGTGTTCACAGTAATGGTACATAGCCATATCAACACCATACAAATAAAGTCATGAGAGTCATTTAGATATGAGACACGATAAGATGACTTGTAGGCTGTATGAGCATATATTATGCTCATATTACTACATATGACTAAATACGCTCCCTTTAATCAGTGACATATACAGTAATATGTCAGGCCAGGGTTGATATATTCTATGGGTTTCATAAGAATTCTACACGGGTGGTATTCGGAGGAGTGTTGGTTAACACAATGTTAAGAAATCAATAAGTCCAGGAATAGAACTAAGTTGCAGCCGGCACGTCGTTCCCTCAGATGTGACCTATATCCCTGCTCACAACACATCATGGAGTTTAAAACGAGCCGAGCATGACGGTGATGCAACAAATCCCTAAGGGTCAAGCTTTTAAGTGACTATAATAACCTCACAACCATTACCTCCATCGCAACTCGCAACAAAAAATCACAAAATGAAAGTGGCCACTGAGGCGGGAGACCGGACTTTAAGAGAGATCATAGCTTCATAACCATTTTACATATTTTATAGACTGGGCATCATCCCAAATTACAATAAATTATAACAGATCTCAAATCTCGATGAACTTAACAGGGGCCTGGATACTTTGAAATGGATAGATCATTATGTCACTGAAGGCCGGTGAGTTAGCAATGATGATACTGTGATATAACGGATCATGACGGTTCTAGTAACTTCACTGGGATGAGCAACAACCAAACAAATATGGGAATCTGACGACGCTCACCATTACAACTCATAAAGTTACAACTCATAAAGTTACAACTCATAAAGTTACAACTCATAAAGTTACAACTCATAAAGTTACAACTCATAAAGTTACAACTCATAAAGTTACAACTCATAAAGTTACAACTCAAAGGTTACAACTCATAATAAGTTACAACTTATAAAGTTATAACTCACTATAATGATTAAAGATAGACGGTTGATCACTTCGTAATGGACCGGGACTGATAGGCTTCGTTATAAGATTACATGATTACATCTTTACATCTGTGTAGGAAACTAATCTAGGAACTACAAATTGTCCAAAAATATAGCTAGGGACAGGTTCGTCCCGGAAACTACAGGAACAGGTTCGTCCAGGAAACTACAACCGACACTAACCCTCAACAAATCTCATCTCAACGAAACTACAATCTCTCATAACGGAACTACAATCACACAACTCTGACAATCACGTTACCCAGCCCATTAACTAGATCTCATATATAGAGTGATACGTATTATGGCACTGTCCAGGCCTCTGACCACGTCATCTCACACACTCTCACACTGTTGGTAGCAGCACACGCCCACCCCTTATCAGCTGACATCTCCAGGAGCCTTATTATGTAACCTTTCCAGGAACCTTATTAGGTGATCTTTCCAGGAACCTTATTATGTGACCTTTCCAGGAACCTTATTATGTGATCTTTCCAGGAACCTTATTAGGTGACCTTTCCAGGAACCTTATTAGGTGACCTTTCCAGGAACCTTATTATGTGACCTTTCCAGGAACCTTATTAGGTGATCTTTCCAGGAACCTTATTAGGTGACCTTTCCAGGAACCTTATTAGGTGACCTTTCCAGGAACCTTATTATGTGACCTTTCCAGGAACCTTATTAGGTGATCTTTCCAGGAACCTTATTAGGTGACCTTTCCAGGAACCTTATTAGGTGATCTTTCCAGGAACCTTATTAGGTGATCTTTCCAGGAACCTTATTAGGTGATCTTTCCAGGAACCTTATTAGGTGACCTTTCCAGGAACCTTATTATGTAACCTTTCCAGGAACCTACACAGCGTCATTCAGTAGCGTGATTAAGCAGGTATGTGTGGAAATTACGTCAACATATTATATACATATTACATATATTATATATTGCAACAACACTGGGCAGAGAGGCAAATATTATGTAATCGAATTAATCGTGGCTGGCCGATCATTACACAGCTACAGACAACAAATTCCAGCCAATAAATTATGAACAGTACGACATAATTTAAAGCTCGACCAAAGAACCAAGACCTAAAGGGCATCAGCATACATAATGTAATAGATTTTCACAGATTCGATTACCGGATTAGCTGGATATGATATATCAGTACACTTGACTGCAAAAAGCACAAAAACCTGCCCGCCCAGTAACATAAACAGTGCTGCGTCACGTCCGCAGTCCAGCCTAAATTGAATTTTGAAAAACTGAAATATTCTCGGCCTTTAAAAATTTAAAAACGGGCTGTAATCAATATAAAAGTATTCAACTAAAATAAGTAGAAGTGTTGACTGTTGAGCGCTAAATGCACCGATCGGAGGAGTAGGCAGGGTCATGGCACGTTCGAAACTGACACGTGGCGATATCTGACAGAAGGAGCTGGCTCCAGAGAATGCAGAAACGGATCCCCCTAGAAAGTGCACGAGAACATGAGGTCCAGAAGCCGCCAAAAAGTGTCACGAAATAAAAATTCTGGTTGTAGAACTTGTAGCAGCTCGGAGGAGAAACTTGAGATCCTTATTTTGGTCATTAGCTTGAAAACTTATTAGATTTTGTACACTTTTGTGGAATTGGAAACGAGGCTCCCTAATGAAATCATTTCAGGTCAGGGACTTACAATTTGGGTATTGGAACCGCCCCAGGAGTAAAACCACCAACCGGGCATAGACGATAACATACACTCGGCTCGGCTAGAGAAAGCCGCTTCAATTTTGTGAATTATGAGTCGAGCGTTTTGTTATCATGCAGGAGGTTGCAATCACTGCAAGGTTGAGTGGAGGCCGTGTGTTTTAGGAGGCAGGTTCTCTACACATCATGCAGAGCATATTGAATCTTCATAAGAGGAGTGAGGGAGTTATTAAGAGTTTTAAACTTTTTAAAATTGCGGAGGATAATACGATATTTGATACATTTGTCGGAGTCACTGTAAGTATTATCGTGCTCTTGAGAAGAAACAGGCACTGAAACGAACTGAGCTCATCAACAGATCAAACGATGGACACACTTCAAATTTAAAAATCACTGACAAAAATACCGCTTGCGTAACCCGACAGGGTTTTTGTACGACAATGTATTCAAATGTAATACAGTGTATATTAATAAATACACCCATTAGTAAATGCATTTTATCAAGTTGGACTGGCCGCCTCAAATCCAATCACGTGGTCAAAACACGTGGGTAGCAAGTGAGTAACACTTGGACAACTTTATACCTACTTCCAGTATGGTTTCTATGACGACATCACGTGGTTTGACTTTGTATACAGTCACGTGGGGTGTGAGGTAGGATATTTACTGGATGGATTGTGCTGAAGGTGTTGATGGGAGCTGATACTCTGATGTTTCAGTAAACAGGCTCGAAAAGAAAGTTTACAATTGTAAACGATTTAAAAAGATTTAAAACAAGGACGAGGAACGTTTACAGTCGGTACCAATTCTC